CTTCACGTTCAAGTTGTACAGAACCTTTATTTAACTTAGCAGTAGTAGGCATATCCCTCATCTCATCATGATCAACCAAAGACAACTGTGAAGTATCATGATCATTATCACGAATATTCACTTTACCGTCAACTTCATCATTTTCAAACTCTTTAATAACAGAAGTAGACAATTTTGGTTCCTCCTCGCAAATCATAAAAGGTTTTATAACTTCACTCTGAATAGTAATACCTTGTAAACGTGTACGGTCAGAACTGCACTCTGAAGCAGTAACTCTATTCTGTGACGCTCTATTCAACAATGGCTTACCAGTTGCAACTACAGACTTCTTCACCGCACCGTTATCGTCACACAATTCGGAGTCAGGCCTCGAGTTTACATTTAGCTTATCACTGAACTTGCTCACCGGTTCACAGTTCACCTTTGTACGCACTTCTTGCAAACGTGTGAAACACAACCGTGTTTGTCTTGCATCTTGTAACCTATCAGTTGAGGATGTACTACGAAACCTGTTACACTCACTAGATCTATATGCATTACTAGACATCATGGAGCTTTCTCGATAACCACCTCTCTGAGGCCTACTCGTCATCAATGATTGCATTTTGATCTCAGACTGCTCTATTCTAGGGGTGAGATGTAATAGACTGGCGAACTTGCTCATCGATTGATTGACACTAGTATTTACCAGTTTCAGGATATCATCAAATTTTGGCTCGACAGCCTCATCCTCCATACGGGAGCTCATCTTCACCCACTTCCTTAGCAGTCGAGTAGGTAGACGTCTTGCTATTACTTCTAGTATAAAACTCGAGTTGAGGTCACTCATTCGATTCATCGAAATCATTCCATTCTTGTAAATTAGCAAATTATCTAAAAACTCAGTGAGTGCCTGGGAGTCATCCTGTAATTGACCACCATTACCCTTAACAGCCTCGAATAATTTCCCTGCAATCATCGAAGGTCTTCCAAACCTTTGACGTAATATGCTCATAGCCTCGTAGTAGCCCTCTTTTGGCTTCATAAACTTACAGCACTGTATAGCTCTTGCAGCATCTCCAGTGCAATATCTCATCAAATACATTAACTTCAATTCATCACTTAATAAAAAACCACTCAACATGATCTCAAACTCCTTTACAAATTGTAAATAATCGGCCGGGTTTCTATCGAAACACCGTGGTTCAAATTTAGGGAGTTTGATGTTCCTATTATCCCTGAACGGCGAAACAGTAACATCAACCACGTCATGCTTAACATCAGACACATCGTTACAATTAACAGACAAGTCACCATGACTTACTTTCCTGTTTGCATCCAAGACACTCTGTCCCTTCTTTGACCCAGGCATTGTTGAACTTGACCCGATTCCAAAAACGTTCCAGATATTGCTTGTTCAAAGAGGACTTGACCGGCACCAGGAAAAATGAACGGCGACTATCCAAACTTTCACCAACTGTTTGAATCCGCCAGATCTGTTTCCATCGTCAGAAACTGTCAATCACGTCTCATAAACCGTTAATGCCCAGCTCTCGCTACGCTCGGGCCCACGCTGTTCCTTGAAGTTTTCAGAAACGCTTAGTTATAACGGACGAAAAAACCAAAACACCGATCTGCCGCTTGAGATTTCTTTATTGTTACACCAACATATAAAAGGAATAACTGAACTAAGGTTTCTGACGATGTTTCACTCTTCTTTCTGAACAGCGACCGATGAGACGATGACTGTCGTATTGATGCCTCCGCGAAAATTGGGGAAGTTGATTTTGAGCAAACAACCATGAATTGATCGTTCAATCTTCAACTCCATTGACAACATCTTCCACCTGTAGCACAGGATTGAGATCTGCATTGATACCATATCGAGAGCTAGTAGTTGATACTGTATTACCAGGCGGTAATGCAGTTTTAACCGAATTTATGCCACTATCTAAAACAATTGTGTTTCTACGAACACGTTTTTTTAGAGATTTGGACCATAATTTCAAGAATTATATGACAATAAGCAGTAAATAAATTTCAGAGCAAACACGTGCAAAAATGTCACCAATTTCGAACGTACCGCTCGGATGGAGAGTACACTCCGTTTAATTTACTCAACAAAACTAGACTAATTTCGGATCGGATTGCCAAACGAAACGGTGGAATTTATCATTCCAATTTCGCTTAGATTTTACGAATTTAATAATAATAATAACATTTATTTTACATAAATTAAGCATTTACATGATTCACATACCGTTTGTACACGCATGATCATATTAGACATGTGCAGTCTGTAATTGAACACTGTTTTATGAAATTAAAAATTGTAAAATGACCTCTAGAAACTTTATAAGAATAGAATATAAGATTTTGGTTTAAGTCTAAATTGTAATATTTAATATACTCATAGTGAGTCAGATTCATGCGGGAATTATGAAATTTTGCGTTAATGGAATGTAATGTAATGCAATGGAAACCAATACAATGCCACTAAGCAAGTTTCTTTTTCTTCTTTTTCAGAAAGAAACGTTGATGTGGCATCACTGGAGCAAGAGGAAGACCGGTTATCCAAACTTGTTATAAATGATGAGAACTAGTTTGTACCCGGGTAATTCGAGTCTGGCTTGCTTGAAATAAACGCTTCCTCCTCGCCGTCTTTGCCTTCTTTCTTCACCCGTCGTGCTTGTGGTCTGTGTGCGCTATAGTAAGAAGAGAGGTGATATACAGGTGCTAGAGTAAGTCACACTGGATCCAGACCGTTATTATTATCATTTTATCAACCAGTAAGGGTTCGAAAGTTTATAAAAATCCACATTAGACGGTAAGTACAGCATTATATTGGTATTAGCAGATAGAAGGGACCGATTGGTAGCAAAGTTAACTTTGCGATGTTGAACAGAATTCAGAATGGAATTTGTTCCGCTGTTCATCGTAAGTGCTAACAATATTCTGGTTACCGCTCAAGTAATACAAATTTAGGAAGCAGGATTACTGTCCATTAGCAGTGCTTCAGTGCAATACCTTCGAGAAGTGAAGAAAACAGAAGCAGCCAGCAAATGATAATAATTTAAGTAAACAATACGCGATAACCGCAGGGTTTATTCTCCTTTTTTATTACTAGGAGTTTCTAGTCATTGAGTTTTATAGTGTTACATACTAACGGTTAGTTTAAGTTAATAGTAGTAAGCAACAACTGAAATATAGAATAACGATAAAAAAAGTAAAAATTAGGGCGAAACGAATTATGGTTTTCACTCTTATATAGGGTAATGTTGGGAATAGTAACTGAAGAAGTGAAATCCAAATGCCAAAGTACATAAGTTATTTAAAAGAAAAGAGGAAGTATATTAATACTGATTTATGCTGTTGTTCTGATTTATACAGTTGGATGTCCTCCTGAAGTAGAGAGATCGTACCATTTTTTCAAAGAGTTTGTACGCAAGCTGTGACATGCACGTAGCATTTATTTTTTATTTTATTTATTATTATTCTTTTTTTGAAGTAATTCATCCTCAGGAGCCTTAGCAGTAGAGTGCATTCCCACAGATAAGGGTGGTTTTCCTTAAGTCCCCACCATCATATACCCTGAATAGCAGTCACCACCCTCCCACCTTTGAATCTGCTAGGCCCTGGCGAAATACTCCTTTATTGTTTTTAGAAAAAAATCTTTTATTATTGCTACGTGTCATATGGACAGTTTTTGCATTCACAAGCTAACTCAACGATACTCATGGTATGAACAACTACTTTCAGTCAGCCATTTTGTATGCATCGTCACTAACAGCATTGTAAAAATGTTTACGTAAAATAAAAAATGTAAGGGAATCAGAGATTTGCAGGCAACTTTCAAGATTTTAGTTATAAGCATAGCAACGAAGAGGTAATACGAAATGTTACGAAAGAGTAAAATACATAGAGCTGCATAGTTATGTATATATCTATATAAAAAGAGAGTAGTCAGTCATAAAAGATATTTCGGAAGAATACGACTACAGAGTGTTATGATAGCATAACAGTAAAATAAAATCCGTTGATACTTAGGATTCACAGTGTAGTTAATAGACAGTAGTTAGTTATAATAGATAGTTCAGAGGAATACGACTACAGAGTGTTATGATAGCATAACAGTAAAATAAAATCCGTTGATACTTAGGATTCACAGTGTAGTTAAGCTGAATTTTTAGACGATCCTCTGTAGAGCTTGGATTTCTGTAAGCGTATATGGTAATGTAATTGTATATAATATAATATTTGGTTAATTTGGAAGTCAGCCGCTGGGATTAAATGCATTTGAATGACTGAAGAGTTTTGAGGGTAGTTCATTTAGGTTCAGTGCAACTTTCGTGGCGAGTATGACAGGCTGTGTATTCCACTCCAGGTTTGCTTGAAAGGATTGCGGATATTTCGTGATGTCTGCTTAAAAACTAATTGGATCAACTAAAAAAAGGAGCTGAGAACAGAATTAGCTCAACGTAAAATATTTTAAATATGTCTGATAATACTGACCGTGTCTGTTAATGCTTTGAGTGAACAAAGCTGTTTAGGTACATAAGTCAGAGTGGGAAGAAACAATATCACGAATTTTCAGCATGTGGCAAACCCTGTCAAGACTATTTTCGGAGAAATATTTATGTAGTAGATGGGTGAATCGTTGTACTGTGGTGCTGTTTTTGATTTCATTTGGTAAGAAGTTCCATATTTGCCTATATTTGACTGTAAAGAAGTTGGGACGAGAATTCGTTCGACAAAGAATATGACTTAGAGAAGACCCAATGCTGCGTAGATCATACGTCAAAGAAGTAAAGTTAAGGTTATTATTGGGGAAGTATACTATTCCTTTGAGAATTTTAAATAGGAGAATGAGGTTAAGTCGGTGACGCTTGAACCAAAGGGGCGTTGATAAGGGGCAGCCTGTAGACGGCCGTAATTTTGAGTGCCCGCGAGTGAGATAAACAATTGATTTTTTAGCTTGCGATTGGTCTGTTTGATATCACCTAACAAGACTGAGTGGCGGTATTTGCAAACATTGTTGGCTGTTTTGTTTTGTTTCTACTTTTTAAGGTGATCTTAATTGTTCTTTGTAATTATTGGTAATGAATATAGTCATGGTAGAGGGAACTAATGAAATATCAGTTGATTTAACCACTGAATTTAATGAATTAGTTCGCTACCAAATTCTAAGGACTTGGAAGGAGTGTGAAGAATGTATACGTCGTTTTCAAGAGGTAATTGGTTTATGCAAGTTGTAATAACTGCTTGTCATTATTAATTGTAGCGAACCGGCAGCTTGTATAAAATACGTGACTGCCGGGTTCGTCGTGATGAAAATGACGAGGTTGATCCAGATTACAAGTACTTGTACGTTTCATTTTCATGTCATGTTGGTCGACGTCGACGATCAGAAAGCAGGCACCTGAGAACATCACAGTGAGTGCTGTAAAGTACCTCAGCTTTATATTTAAGATCTAAGTACATAGGGTGTCCATCAAGTTTCAGATTTAAGCTGGAATTCGGACTATATAAAGTGGTCGAACCTGTCAATACTCGACACAACCATGCATTGTCAAGAGAACTGCTATTGTCTGTTGAGCCGACAGTTCGGAGACTAAGTTTAGAAGAAAAATCTAAAATATTACCTCTTGTAGAGAGAAACGCCCCCCCTGCTCAAGTTATAAATATGATTGATGTTGAGTTTGGAAAGCTGATGACCTACGATGATTATCGGAATTTCCGGGAACAAGTCTACCCTAGTAAGTTATCATCTTGCGTTAACAGTCTCTACAGGAATGCGAGACATTGACACACTGATCGGTGAAATTCGTGACACAGGTTCCGTATGGTGCGTGCTGGACAGTCGACGACGTGTGGAAAAGTTTAGTTTCGCAACCAGGGAAATGATAAGTTTATATAAAAAATTTCCAGAGGTTGTGGGCATGGATTCAACCTACAAAACGAATAGGGAGGGGTAATATTTTAATGTTAAACGAATCTCTTGTAGTCATCCTCTATATCAACTGGTTGTTACAGATGGTATGAATAGAAGTTGTCCACTCATGTACAGTACAACTCATCGTGAAAGACTTGTTGACGTTGAAGCAGTATTACAGTCCTTTAAAAATATTATGGGCGATACATCGCAGACTGTCACGTTTGTAATTGACAACAGTGCTGCAGAGCAACGTGCAATTCGTGATGAGTTTCCTGCCTGCTCCATCATATTATGTGCATTTCATGTCATCCGGGCCTTCAATAACAAAGTAAGCGACATTACTACTTACCTAACGTCCTTAAGTTCCGTGATCCTAATTGTAAAAAGATGTTTAAAGAGATGGTGTACACAACGAGTAACGGCAGGTAACTAAGTGATTGTGTTAACACTTCTCTAGGTTTAGTGAGTTAATGAATTTAATGGGGTTGGAGTTTCCTGCAGCCGTATCTTAAATAAATAACAACTTATGGAGTTGTCGTGATATGTGGGCAGGCTGTTATATGAAAGATGTTGTCAGTCTTGGCAACAAAACGAATAACAGAGTTGAATGCTGCCATAAACACCTGAAGACACACCTAAGCAAGTGCTTTCCGATAGAATTGAGCATTCGTGAGATATGGAAGTGTTCCATAGAGTCATGGAGAAGATAGGCTATTGAAGGAAATCGAAACCTGCATTACTACATTAATTTTAACGTAAGTCCAATAGTTGCAACTTGAAATTTTTTCAGGTGGACGAAGGCCTTTCCAGCATTTTGTGGCAGCTTACAAGCTATGCGGCATACTCACTTTACAAAAGCATCAGGAGGCATCCGGAAATGAAAGTAAATGATAGCACAGAAGCATACGTGATATTCGAAGAAGGTGAAAGGTACTTCGTTGTGGACAAACATGACTGCAGCTGCACATGTTTCCAAAACAAAAACATGCTTTTGCCATGCCGTCATCTTGTTCATACCAAATGTTATCTATATTCACGTCTGGGTAAGTTCGTATAAGCCAGCAATTATTTTGTAAAAGATGTATTTAGACATAGTACTAGGTGGTTACGATATTACAACCACACTCTCATCCAATCTCAGTCGACAACAGCGGTGGAATTGGACGTGGAGATGCTCATACAAGGAATCATATATCAAATGAGAAACCTTAAACAGACGCATCCTCGGATATGTAGAAGTGCGTTTCTTTACGTATACAATTATCTGCTTGAAGCTGGTGGACAGTTGGATGATCAGGCATCTACATCGTCAGCCTCGGACTGATATACGTACATATTTTTAAAGATAACTGTAAATAAATTTTCCCATAAAAAATCTTCTTTATTCTGACTTGCGGAAATTGTTGTTGAAACGGTTCAACGAATAGATGTCAGTGTACTAGCCTGTCTCCGTGAAACCTTGGCATTCTTTTAGTATTATTACAGTAACCGTAGATGCACTCAGTTACACATGTCGATTAATATAGTTACAATTACTACCGTCTTCGTTTTCGCAAGTTTTCGCAAGCATACTATATTAGCTAAATTTACTTTTCACCTTGAGTGACTATGAATCCAAAGTCCGTTAGTAGGTCCCTACTAAGACGATATATAACTCTAAGCGCTTATAATCTCAATGTTTTCTTTTAACTGTGGACGAAGTAAATTCATTACGTTGCCACATTATCGTTTTATCAATAAGCATCTCCGAATATCTTATTTTACTTGGCATTTCTAAGTTAACGTCATAAACTCCGTACCTTACAACTTACGCAAAAGCTAGAAATTAGTATTATTAAGCAGAATAAGTAAACGAACAACGAGGAATACATTTATTAATGAATTAAAATGTAAGACGAAATCGACAACAATGCGGGTATCTTTTTCTTTATCAACGAAATCCATGAAATTCCCGAAAGTACATATTATCTGAAAAAGGACATAAGATATATACAGATATAGACATTGTTATCAGTGTTAACACAATAACTAACCATTGAATATGTTTAATATGACGAAATAATTACTTGAATTGTATATAATTATGTAAGTCAACACTCTTCATAATCTAAAATCCATATTGCATCTGCCTGCAAACATCAAGTTTATGCCATAAAAAAAGAATTACTTTGCGTATATAATTTCTAAGTATTTCTGTAGATTTTTCTTAAAGAAATACATATGGAGCAGCCTTGTAAGCATTACGAAAATTAAACAAGGAAGTAAATGATGTAATTACCGAAACGAGCTATCCCACCTCATCATGTCCATGTGGAATCCATTAAAATGCAAAAAATATTCACGAAAAGATCATTATAACATGTTTCTTCAAGTAATTCGACGTATTCTGAACGGAAAAGTACGTTTTTCCAACAAACTGCAGACTGCCTGTAAGCTACGGCCGGATAAGGACACCACCATTGCCTATTTCTGCTAAATACGCCGTATTTCATCAACTTTTAGCTGGAATATATGTAAAAAAGTGTGTAAAACAACGAAAAATGACTTATTTTTGACGTCATTTTCAAAAATAACGCCAATATCCATCAGCTGATCAAATGACCTACGGCCGTCTACAGGCTGCCTTGATAAGGCATATCCCCTATTTGAAGTGGCGCCTCTGGCTTAACCTTGACGGCATTTGCGCGGTTTCGTTGATTCGAGTTGTAGCTAGCCGTCCAGCAAACGCAGTAGACGCGATGTCGGTGCTTATTTTGCTCTTGTTGGATGAATTTATATGAAAATTGTTGTTCGATATCGTTCTTGAGCATTTACTGATTGCTTTTGTGACAGGACGCTTAAATACATGGTTCATGCAATGATTATTTGGCATACCGGGTAAGCTTCGTGTGCATTTCGACGACTGTCATTCGATAGATTTCCTTGCAGCTTGGCGGAAACCCGTACTCGATCTCGCATTTCCCTATCAGCTGTTGTGCAGTACCTATTACTGTTGCAGGAACCGAAATACGATTGATATCGAATTCATGCATCCTTCCACACTCTCGTGTGGTGTTTTGATGGCTGAAAGTCAATGTAATGCATAGATACAAGGGAAAATTAGTGTTCATAAATGGGCAGAAACTGCAATATGTTTTGCGATAACCTACAGCATTCACTGTTTTCTGCCAAAATTTTTAAATGAGTTAAATGCACACTGCAACATTTTAGTAATTTGGTGGATTTCAATACCATCCTCGTGATCAGGTACGTAAAGACATCTGTGGTGTGCGTCATTTTGTTCTATTATTGAGTTTGGTTTCGTAAACTTCCGATTTTTGTTATTGCCCTGACGCCAAATTATATGCGTTTGTTCAAAGTTAATTCACAAAATTATTTTGAAACCACGTAGAATTAGTGTCCGACATCTGTTAGTTATGGACGTAAGGTTTAGAAGCGGTTGCTGTATCCATTTAGGGGGGACTCATCGATTTCTGCAGGTAAGGGCTACGCATCATATTCCTAAATGCCTCCAGAAGCAACAGAATCTTCAGAAGTTATTAATGGGGTCCCAGCTCCTCTATTTGAAACATATTATATGGACAGAACATAAAATTGACGTTTGCACATTTTTTTAAACTTATCTGTAAAACGTGTTTGGATTGGGTCCTAAAGTTTGTGGAATCCGAAGTGTGATTCGGAAGTTTAAACCACTTTTGTGAGTTCCAAGAATATTCGTCATCACACGAAACCTTCTTTGTTAAACTCCGTCTTCATACCAGTCAGGGTAGATGTACTAATACCTGTTATTTGGTTTAGTGATCTTCATTGTTATTTTGACCTTCGATATGTGATCTTAATTCGACGTGAATTTATTTTCTGACCTCTTAACTGTATTAATTTCATATGTATTCCTATGACAAGTCCATGCGTGACCAGATTGTCCAAAATGTGTTGCACAAATACAACAATGCACGACTCAGGCAAATTACGTCTTATTACTTCGCCTAAATATCCACTTGTGTCAAAAATAGTGATTGATGTAATCGCATATTGATATAAACTTTCATTAATTCTTACTTTGGTATCTCGTTAATATTATATTGGCAGTTATATTCATGTATACATGCTGTGCACCCTTGTTTTCTTTTTTAGGTAATCTGTAGTTCCAGTGACCTCGTTGGATTCGTTGCTGAAGAAAGTGGTTTCCAGTACCGTTGATTCTGTATTTTGTGTCTAATCACTAATAAATATATTCCCTATACCTCAAATAGACATTCTACTTGTTAATAGTCACCACTAACTTTATAGAATGTTGTGAGCTACAGAGTTAGGGTCATGTGTTGTATTGAGTAGCGCGTTTAGAAGATACGTCCGCCCCTGAGGAATATTGTCGTCAATATGGAGTACATTCTCGGGATAAATCTGTTAGCACTAATTATTATCAGTACCTATATTTCGTATGGATGGTATATAACGAAACGTACTAATTCAGTAGTCAAAGGTTAGAACTATCCGTTAAAATTGAAACAGGTGCTCATGAATGGGAAAACTGATTAATCGAAAGTTGAAACATCACGTAAGTGATAAAGTCATTAGCATTGTTTACATGCGAATAGTTAAGGTTATTTATTTAAAAACGATGGTTACTCGTTGATGGTTTGAGGGATATTTCGTTTGATAGGAAATAGGTGGGACATTGTAACTGAAAAACAGTGTAACTGGATAAGCAACATCAACTGGCCAGTATACAAATATTTTGAAGTAAAACACGATCGGGCAAAGTATTTCGAAGACAGGAGTAGAGCAGTCTTCTGAAACTATTAATTTAGTGAGCAACTAAATTTGTCTTTAAATTAAGACTGAAAGTAAGCGGCATATTGGTAGGCTAAATGATTGTCATTATTCGGTTTCGTTAGAATAAGTATCCGAGTACTATTTCACTCATCATTCTGTCTTCTGAATAACTTAGTAATATGGCGTTTACTTTCGGATCCAAATTACTAAGTAAAGGTTAATATCCCTAATATGAAATTGTCGCCAAAGTAAGTAAATATGTTCATATCTAGAAAATACTAAGGTTTGGAGTTGTTTTTTTCTACTACCACAACACCAGGTGACTCACCAATTAGTCACAAAGTAAAACTAGGTCTGTCCAAGACAGTCTGCTCTTGACTTCTAGGTATCGTGAAGGATAAACTATGCCCGTAGCTTAACAGGATTAGACGCATGATGTCAATTCGAAACTAGGTATCTATGTTTCGCAGCTACAGAAAACACCATGTTACAATCTATTCCTTTAATCGTGTCAATCAATGTGACATCAGTTAAGACTAGAAAAGGAACACCACTGGTTTTCAAAAAATCCATTTCAGTTCATTGATATAATGTACATTCCGTAATTATAGGCAAACCAGGAAACGCACCAAGTCATCACGTATATACGAACAATAATTCAGCGTACAAGGTAGGGTAGA